TCTGAGCACTGAGTGCTGAGTGCATGAGCCAGGAGTAACCCCTGTGCATTGCCGGATGTGACCCCAAAAAGAAAAAAAAAAAGCACCATCCCAAGGAGACTTGGGGTGGAATGGCTTTTCTTGGTGACACAGTGATATATTTTGTAGACCTCTCCGGAAATGTCACCTTCTGTCCATTGGTGGTGGTGACCATGAAGTCACTTCCAACATCTCAGAACCAGTGAGCTGGAGACTGGGTATTTGCCCAGCAGGCAAATGGGCCTGGGTTCTATCTCGGGGACCACATGGGGTCCCAGCAAGCCCCTGGGCACAGAGCCAGGAGTGAACCCTGAGCTCAGGCCTATGTGACCCCAAAACAAAAGAAAAAAACAAGAAGGAACGTTGGAACTCTAAATGGTCACAATATTATAACCATGTTTCCTAAATGATAATAATAATAAAAATGAAGATAGAGGTGACCTCTTTTCTGTCTTGCTATTCCGGTCTTGCATTCTTTCTTTGTTCTTGGGCCATATTTGTTGGTGCTCAAGGCTGACTCCTGGCTCTGAGTTCAGGGAATCCGATGGGATGTGGGAATCAAACCCTGGTCTGCCGCATGCAAGGTGAACGCCCTCCTTGCTGTGCTAAAAGGTTTGGCCCCGGGGCTGGAGGGATACCACAGCAGGTAGGGCGTTTGCCTTGCACTCAGCCAACCCGGGTTCGATTCCCAGCAACCCATATGGTCCCCTGAGCACTGCCAGGAGTAATTCCTGAGTGCATGAGCCAGAAGTAACTCCTGTGTAAAGCCAGGTGTGACCCCCCCCCAAAAAATTAAAAATAATAAAAGGTTTGGCCCCAGACCTCTCTTCATTCCCACCAATAGTGTTGGAGGGTTAGTTTTTTTTCACATGAATAACACCCAGCCTTTGGGGGATGAGGGTGGCCACACTTGGGGGTGCTCTAGGATTATTCCTGGCAGTGTTAAGGGTACCCGGCACTGGTAGGGACTGAACCAGGCTTGACTGCAAGCACTTTAATCCTCTTTGGCCCATCCTTTTAATTATTTATTTTTAATTATTTTATTTATTTATATTTTTGCGTTTTGGGTCACAACCGGCAATGCACAGGGTTTACTCCTGCACTCAGAAATTACTCCTGGTTGGGGCTGGAGCGATAGCACAGCGGGTAGGGCGTTTGCCTTGCACGCGGCCGACCCGGGTTCGATTCCCAGCATCCCATATGGTCCCCTGAGCACCGCCAGGAGTAATTCCTGAGTGCAGAGCCAGGTGGAACCCCTGTGCATCGTCAGGTGTGACCCCAAAAGCAATAAATAAATAAATAAATAAATAAATCTTGGCGGTGCTCAGGGGACCATATAGGATGCTGGGAATTGAACCCGGGTCAGCCGCGTGCAAGGCAAATGCCCTACCCACTGTGCTATCGCTCCAGCCCCCTTATTTTGTTTTACTTTACTCGTATTTTTTTTGCTTTTTGGGTCACACCTAGCGATGCACAGGGGTTACTCCTGGCTCTGCACTCAGGAATTACTCCTGGCGGTGCTCAGGGGACGATGTGGGATGCTGGGAATCAAACCCGGGTCGGCTGCGTGCAAGGCAAACGCCTTCCCCGCTGTGCTATCTCTCCAGCCCCAAGCCCCTTTATTTTAAAAATTATTTTAGTTTTCGGTTTGGGGGCCATACCTGGCGGTGCTCAGGGCTTATTCCTGGCTGTGTGCTCAGGGAATCACTTGGGGGCTTGGGGGATCCCATGGAGTGCCGGGGATTGAACCCAGGTAGGCTGTGTGCAAGGCAAGTGCCCTCCCAGCTGTATTATCGCTCTGCAACTCCCTAGCAACCCCCGTTCTTTCCTCACCACATTCTCTTTTTATTGAGTCACCATGAGATACACTTACAAAGCCTGTTCTTTTATTTTTTTATTTTTTTTGCTTTTTGGGTCACACCCAGCAATGCACAGGGGTCACTCCTGGCTCTGCACTCAGGAATCACCCCTGGCGGTGCTCAGGGGACCATATGGGATGCTGGGAATAGAACCCGGGTCGGCCGGGTGCAAGGCAAACGCCCTTACCGCTGTGCTATTGCTCCAGCCCCATGTTCTTTTATTTTTGAATTCTTTTCATCTGAGGGTCATTCCCAAGATGCTCAGGGCTTACTCCCGGCTCTGTACTCAGGGATCACTCCTGGTGGGATTCAAAATTTTGGAGACCAAACCAGGGCCAGCACGTGCAAGACAAGAGCTGGAGAGAGAGGACAGCAGATAATTTTGAATATAATTGTACGTTTATGTTATTTTAAAATAATTGTGGTAATGAGTAAACATAGTGTTTCAAACGCACCATTTCTAAACACTTCCCAGGGGCCTGAAACACATTCACGGGTTGTGCCACCCACACCCTCACCCTCCCACCCTCCTGTTCTAGAACTTTCTCTCTGACTAGGGAAATGACTCAAAGGGCTGGAACATATGCTTTGCAAGAGGGAGATGTGGGATGGATCCCATAAACAGAACTCTCTCATCTATTCCAACTGCAACCCTATCCTACTCACCCTTCTTCCCTCCTCCCCGGGCGGTGCTCAGGGCACCATATGGGAATGGCAGGGATGGAACCCGGGTCAGCCACATGCAAGGCAACACCCTCCCAGCTGTACTATCACTCGGGCCCCTAGACATACTTTTATTTAAAGTGTTTTTTTTGTTTTTGTTTTTGTTTTTGTTTTTTTGCTTTTTGGGTCACACCTGGCTATGCACAGGGGTTCCTCCTGGCTCTGCACTCAGGAGTTACTCCTGGCTGTGCTCAGGGGACCCTATGGGGTGCTGGGAATCGAACCCGGGTCGGCCGCATGCAAGGCAAACGCCCTACCCGCTGTGCCATCTCTCCAGCCCCTATTTAAAGTGTTTTTATTCTATTTGTGTCACAACCGGGGATGCTCAGGATGACTCCTGGTCCTGCACTCAGGAATCGCTCCTGGCGGTGCTTGGGGGAACCATATGAAATGCCGAGGATCGAACCCGGGTCGGCTGCATGCAAGGCAAACGCCCTCCCCGCTGTACTATTGCGCCCGCCCCTAGACCTAAGTTTTAAATTCGCATAGATCCCAGACATTTGGTCTCCCCCAAGCCTGGCTTGGCCATGCCTCCTTCCTGTGTGCCCTAAAGATCTCTTTCCCTTTCTCTGTTCCCCTAAACCTGGACTGCGATTCTGGAATTCAAAGCAGTCACACCCTCCCCGCTCCATCCCCGCCCCTCCTCAATTACGTTAGGGACTTTCCTACTTTCCTGGGGTCCGGGGAAAGCCTTAAGAGAAGAAAGATAGCATAGTGGGTAGGCGTTTGCCTTGCACGCGGCCGACCCGGGTTCGATTCCCAGCATCCCATATGGTCCCCTGAGCACCGCCAGGAGTAATTCCTGAGTGCATGAGCCAGGAGTAACCCCTGTATATCGCCGGGTGAGACCCAAAAAGCCAAAAAAATGAAAATTAAAAAAATAAATAAATTCTTGGGGCTGGAGAGATAGCACAACGGGTAGGGCATTTGCCTTGCACGCGGCCGACCCGGGTTCGATTCCCAACATCCCATATGGTCCCCTGAGCACCGCCAGGAGTAACTCCTGAGTGCAGAGCCAGGAGGAACCCCTGTGCATCGCCAGGTGTGATCCAAAAAGCAAAAAAAAAAAAGAGAGAGAAGAGAGAGAAGAGAGACCGAGGCTCCTGGGACTTGGGGGTGGCGTGGGGGGTGGGGTAGGGGACAGGCCTCCGCCGTCGCTAAGGAGCGGACCGGGAATCTGGACGCCGAGCGGTGGGATTGGTCGATCGGCCGTTGTCCCGCCTCCCGGTTGCCGGGCTGCAGCCTATCCGCGTGCAGGCCGGCCTGGGCCGCCAGGTGTTTGCAGAGCCGGCCGGTGCAGGTGTGCGTAACCTGGGAGCATCGAGGGAAGGGCCGATCCGGGACCCCCTCCGGGACCCCGGCGCCCCTCCGCGCGGGTGCGCGAGATCGCCGGGCGGGAGGCGGCCCCCAGCGCCCCCTCCAGCCCGCCCCTCCCGGAGAGGCGCGCGTCGGCCCCTCGCGCGCTCCCGCTCGCCGCCTCCCGGGGTCCCGATCACGCGCGCGCGCCCCCCGCTCCCCGCCCGCCCGCCCGCCCGCCGCCGAGGGGCGGGGCGCCCGGATCTCTCGGCGCGGCCGCCCGCATCCCGCTCGGCTCGCCCGGCCCCCGCGCCCCGCCGCGCCCCAGCCCAGGCCAGCCCGCTCGGCCCCGGAGCCCGAGGTGAGAGAGCAGGTGGCGGGGCGCCGGAGCCCACCCGGGACCCCCGGTGGGGGAGGGGACGGGCCCCGGCCGCGGCTCTTTGTCTCCCGGAGCCGGTGCGCGGGCAGCCGGGGCCGCTCCGGGTCCCTGGCAGGTGCCAGCATCCCCCGGGAGGCCCCGAGAGGGACCCCTCCCCGCTGTCGCGCGCCCCACGACCCCCACCCGCCGCGGGCTGTGGCTTGGGAGGGCCGGGGGGGCTGGCAGGGGCGCGGGTCTGGGGTCCAGCAGGGGAGCCGAGGTGGAGGAGGAGGAGGGGGAGCCGGGCCTGGGGGAGGGCGCTGGGGGTGTGGGTGGGCGTTGGGTGTGGGTGCCGAGTGGATAAAGGAGGATGGGGTGGGACGGACGCGGAGCTGGGCGATCGGGGCGCCCGGAGGTGGCGAAGCTGGGGAAGGGGCGGCGAGGGGGTGGGGAGGGTCGGGGGTGGGCCAGTCCTGATCGGGGGGGGGGGGTCTGTGTATCCATTCAGGTACGAGATGGACAAGAGGAACAAGACCAAAGTGGGGGCTGCCACGCGGACCCCCGCCTCCCGTCCCCCCGGGCTTCCGACCCCCAGACCCCCGGGGTCTCCTCGGCCCCTCCCCCCAGTCACCAGTGCTGCGCTCCGAGTTCTGGGAGCCGCAGGGGCCGCGGGTCGGGGGCCTCTGGCCCAGCGTGCGCCGGGGACCCGGGGCCCGGCCACTGCTGCCGAGGCTGTCCCCCGGGGGATGGGATCGCCGCGGAGCACCGGGGCCGGCCCGCGGAGCCCAGGTAGGCAGCCACTTCTCACCGAGTCTTCTTCCCCCCTTTCACCTGGCATACCCAGTGAAACTGGCTTCTCCCTCCTTCCCCCCCAGCCTCCAGAGCCCCTGCAGCTGGCAGAGAACAGACTCCTGCGAAGACTTCTGGCCCGGGCTTAGCCACCGGTGGGGCACGCGCCAGTGGGCCCACCAGGTAACACGTCCCCTTCCCAATCTCCCCCCACCAAGGGTGAATGTCTCTTCCTACATTTTATTTTTAATTTATTTATTTATTAAATTTGCTTTTTGGGTCACACCCGGAGATGCACAGGGGTTACTCCTGGCTCTTCACTCAGGAATGACTCCTGGCGGTGCTCGGGGGACCCTATGGGATGCTGGGAATCGAACCTGGGTCAGCTGCGTGCAAGGCAAACGCCCTACCCGCTGTGCTATTGCTCCAGCTCCTCTTCTTACCTTTTAGGTCTTTTTTAAATTTTATTTTATATTTTTTAAAAAAAATTTTTTGGGGGGTGGAGCCACACCCAGGGATGCTCAGGGGTAACTCCTGGCTCTGCCAGGCATCTTTCCTGGCCGGCTCAGGGGGACTATATGGGATGCCAGGGATTGAACCTGCCAAGTCATTCCTTACCCATGTACTATGACTCCAGCCCTGAGACTTTTTGGGTGTGGAGGTGGGGATTGGGAGGGTGGGGAGTCAGTGGGTGCTGAAGATTAAATTGAGGTCTTCCATATGCAAAGACTCTTTCTCCTCTCCAGTCCAGTCCCTGACCCTATTTCGATTTATTTATTTTTCTGAGTCATTCCCAGTAGTGTTCAGGGCTTACTCCTGGCTCTGGGTTCAAGGATCACTCCCAGTGTGGCTCGGGAGGACTATGGGGTACCAGGGATCGAACTGGGGTCGGTCATGCCCCAAACAAGCACCCTATCTGCTGTATTACTAGTCTGGGCAGCTCTGCCATTCAATTTTATCCCAGAATTGGGGCATTCTGCAGATGACTGGGGGCCAACTAGACTATTTTTGGTTATTGCTTTGGGGTCACACCTAACTGCCCAGGGCTTACTCTTGGTTCTGTGCTCAGGGATCACTCCGGGAACCCTAGGGGGTGTCGTGATTGAACCTGGCTTGGTCACATGCCTGCAAGCTCCCTTCCAGCTGTACTATTGCTCCAGCAATAGCACAAAAGACTATTGATCTGCCGAGGGTTTAGAGATGCACCAGGTCCCAAATGGAAATGTGGATTTGGAGGTCTTGTGTGCAGCTGGGGTGCTGCCCTGAGTGTGACCCCCTCTTGTTTCCAGGTTAGGGTCTCTTGGACAGAAGGGGCCTCGTCCCCTGGCAGAAGAGCCTGTGGACCCAGGAAAAGCCCCAGAAGTTCTCAGGCGCAGTGCCCTGGGTCCTGGAGCTCGGAGAGGTAGGTGATTTGGGATAAACGAAATTTCTGGGACCCTGAGATTTCTGGGACAGGTGGGAGACCAGTCCGGAAATGCCCAATGACTCCCGCCTTCTTGTGATTTCTCCCCAGAATCTTCTGGGCTCGCCCCAGGGGCTTCCTCCCCAGCCCTCTCTCGCCGGGCCCGGCCTGCAGGTGCTGATGGGGGTCTGCCTCGCACCGCTCCGAGTGCCCGGCCCAGCAAGCCCCCAAATGAAGCACCCAGGAAAGCTGGGAGCGTCGCCCCTGAGCGCAGCAGAGCTGAGCAGAGCCCCACGACCAAGAGGCGACCAGGCGCCGGCGGGGGTCTCCAGAGGCCAGTCTCGCGCCCCCTGGGCTCCAGCACCACCACCCCTCTGTCCTCCCCTGCACGCTCCGGGGTCTCCTCCGCTGCGGGTGCACCCCGCGCTCTGGGCCACCCCTCCCAGCCCAAGTCCAAAGGGCTGCCCACTATGCGCCCCCCGCAAGCCACACCCCCAAGGAAGGGAGCCCCCTCGGCCCAGGGCCTTGCTCCCCCCTTGGCCACACCCGCTCCACCGGGTCGCAAGTCGCAGCTGCCACAGTCGCGCCAAGTCACGGCCACTCCTCTGCCAGATGCGCTGCCACCCTCGCCGCCCACGACGCCCCCTTCCCAGGCCCTGCCGGCTCCGTTGGCCACGCCCCTTCCACTAGCTCCTCCCTCCCCACCCGTCCCTCCGGGCCTGCAGACCCTCCCCTCTCCTCCGGCCACGCCCCCTCTGTCAGCTCCGCCCACACCCCTGGGCGCCTCCTTGGAGGGCTCTGCCTCGCCCCTGGCCTCCCCGAATTCCCCTTCTTTACTCACTCCATCAGCTTCCTCCTCCCCCCCGAGTGTGCCCCCCACACAAGTCTCTCCGGTTGTGTCCCCCCTTCCGCCTCTCCCCTCCCCACTGGCCACCCCTCCTCTGCCAGCCCCTCTGCCACCAGCCTCGGCCCTTCTTCAAGCCCCCCTTTCTCAGGCAGCCATCCTGCTGAACCCGGCGGCTGCCCTGTCCACACCCCTCCTCCCAGCTCTTTCCCCCCTGGCCACGCTCCAGACCCTCGGTTCTCCCGCGTCCACGCCCCCGCCTCAAGCCACGCCTCCCTCCCTGACTCCGCCCCCCTCGCTGGCCCCGCCTTTGGCCGCACTTCCGCCCTCTCCGGCCGCACACCCTCCGCGGAGCCCGTCTCCGGACGCTCTGGCTCCCCTGGCTTCTCCGTCGCTGCACGCCCCTTCCTCGCTCCTGGCCACGACCCGTCCTCAGATCCCGTCGCCTCGGGCCACGAGCCCGCAGCAGGCCTCTTCGTCCCTGCTGCCCCTGGCCCCTAAGCAGCCTACCCCTCCTGTGGCCGCGCCCCTCCTGCTGGCCACGCCCTCTCCCCAGGCCCCGCCGGCCCTGGACTTGCCCCCTCTGCAGACCCTGCCGTCTCCTCCTGCCTCGCCCCCTCTGCAGGTCCCCGCCACTCCCCAGGGCTTGCCCCCTCTTCCGATCCCTCTTTCTCCTCCTGCTTCACCCTCTTCACCTCCCTTAGCCTTGCCCTCGACACAGGCTCCACCTTCTCGGGTCTGGTCTCCGCTGCAAGCTCTTCGCTCTCCCAATGGCTCACCCCCTCTGCAGGCGCCTCCCTCTCTTACCAGCACGCCCCTGCCACAGACTCCACCTCCTCTGGCCTTGCCCCCTCTGCAGGCCCCGCCCTCTCCCAGGGCCACGTCCCCTTTGCAGGCCCCGACCCCTCCCAGGGCCACACCCCCTCTACAGGCTCCGCCCTCTCCCAGGGCCACGCCCCCTCTACAGACACCATCCTCTCCCAGGGCCACACCCCCTCTACAGGCTCCACCCTCTCCCAGGGCCACACCCCCTCTACAGGCCCCACCCTCTCCCAGGGCCACACCCCCTCTCCAGGCCCCGCCCTCTCCCAGGGCCACACCTCCCCTACAGACCCCGCCTGCTCTGTCTGTGTCACCGCCCCCTTCCACGACCACGCCCCTTTCTCAGGCTCCGCCTCCTTTGGTCTTGCCTCCTCTTCAGTCCCCTCCTCTTTTGGCCTCCTTCCCACAGCCTGCACCTTCTCGGCCCTTATCCCCTTTGCTGGTGCCTTCTCCAGGCTCACCCACGCTGCAGGCCCCTCCCTCTCCTAGGACCACGCCCCCTCCACAGCCCCCGCCCTCTCCCAGGGCCACGCCCCCTCCACAGGCCCCGCCCTCTCCCAGGGCCACGCCCCCTCCACAGGCCCCTCCTTCTCTGGCTGTGTCCCCACCCTCCGTGACCACACCCCCTCGTCAGGCTTCCTCTCCTTTGGCCTTGCCCCCTCTGCAGAGCCCTCCCTCGCTGGCCACGCCCCAGCCGCAGGCTCCTCCTTCTCTGGCCACGCCCCAACCACAGACCCCGCCCCTGGCCACGCCCCAGCCCCCGCCCCCGCCCGCTCTGGCCACGCCCCAGCCCCAGGCCCCCCCTTCGCTGGTGCTGCCCCCTCTGCAGTCCTCCCCTTCTCCACCCACCTCCCCCCCGCGGCAGGGCCCCCGCCGCCCCCCGACCCCGGGTCCCGATGCCCCGATCCCGGGCCCACGGCTGACCCTGGCGCTAGCCCCGGTGCCGCCGCCGCCTTCCCGGAGCCCGTCCAGTACGCTGAGCGGCCCGGACCTGGCGGGCCACAGCAGCAGCGCCACCAGCACGCCCGAGGAGCTGCGCGGCTACGACAGCGGGCCCGAGGGTGGCACCGCGGCCTCCCCGCCCGCCGACGCCGAGCTCGCCGCCTGCCACCCCGCCGCCTGGAGCCGAGGTCCCGCGCCGCCGCTGGCCCTGCGGGGAAACCCGGGTGAGTGGCGCGCGCGGGGTGGGGCACGAGGCTCGGGAAGCGCCAGAGCCACCCGGGGCGGGGACGCGACCCCGGGACAGCGGCGTGGGCGGGGCGCGTGCGAGCGTGGGCCGCTGTCCTGCGCGGGCGCGGGGCTTCCCGGCTCGCGCGACCCTCCCTCCAGCCTGGGCTCTCCACCCCGCAGGGGCGCCTCTGCCGTGGTCTCCTGCGGCCGGATCGGGCTCCGCCGACGGCCTGTGCACCATCTACGAGGCGGAAGGACCCGAGTCGGCCACGGCCACCCCGGACACGCTGGACCCCGAGTCCGGGTCCTGCGCGGGCGCGGGCAAGGCGGCGACGGGCGTGGGCGCGGGCGCGGCGTCGCGGGGCGCGAAGCCCGCGCGCCTGGGCGAGCTGCCGCTGGGCGCGCTGCAGGCCAGCGTCGTGCAGCAGCTGCTGAGCCGGACGCTGATGCTGGCGGCGGCCGAGGGGGCGGCGGGGGGCGGCCCCGGCGGCGCGGGAGGGGGCGGCGTGGCGGGGGGGGCCCGCACCGCGCTCAGCGACGCCGAGCTGGGCCGCTGGGCCGAACTGCTGTCTCCGCTGGATGAGTCCCGCGCCAGCATCACCTCGGTCACCAGCTTCTCCCCCGACGACGTGGCCTCCCCGCAGGGGGACTGGACAGTGGTGGAGGTGGAGACCTTCCACTGAGCCGGATGCTAATCCAGTCCACCAGCCCTCGCCCTGGCATTATGCCTCTTAGCCTCCCGCACCCCTTACTGCTCCTGGAGTTGTGCTCTTGGGGGAGGGGAGGGGGGATTGTTCTTAGTCCCCTAGGACCCCGATCTTTCGACCTAGACTTAACGTCCCACTCTCCTCGCTGCCCTCCCCACATAGCCAACGCTTTGTCTGACCCGAGTTTGCAATAAAGCCGGAATCTTCGGCCAGCGCGCCTTTGAGGTCTTTCTTGGGGACTGGGGGACTCCTATGGGATTCCGGGGTGATGCCAGGGGCCAGACCAATGAGATGTGCAGGCGTTGGCTTGTGGCTCTGGCTGGCGATGAAGCAGCTCTGTGAGTAGTAAGAAGGGGAGTCTCCATCCTCATGCCGAACCCCGGCTTCCCTCTGGCTTGATCCTGATGGGAATGTGAGCTGTACATGGCCCCCAAGTCGGTCTTCTGACTCTGGAGGGTCTGGTAAAGGGGGGTCCAGTCTGGTTTATCTCAGGTCCTCGGAAGACCCAAGAATCCTCTTCCTCTTTCTGTCTCCCAGGAATCTCCCTTGTCCCCCGTTTGACTGATGTCCTCCCCAATCCCCTCCAGCCAGTCCTTGCCTGGTGCTCCCTCCTTGTCTCTTTTTTCTTTTTGGGTCACACCCGGCGATGCACAGGGGTTACTCCTGGCTCTGCACTCAGGAATTACCCCTGGCGGTGCTCAGGGGACCCTATGGGATGCTGGGAGTCGAACCCGGGTCGGCTGCGTGCAAGGCAAACGCCCTACCCGCTGTGCTATCGCTCCAGCCCCCTCAATTGTCACTTGTCACTAGGCAGAGACCACGGCCCCCCACCAGGGGGCTGGGGCCACAGTAAAGAAGGGAAGTGGAGGCTGGGGGACGCCCCCCTGTGCTCCCCCAGCTAGGAGACTTGTCCCTGGAGTCCCTCAATAGTGTTCTGGCTTGAGTCTTGCGTTTTCCCAAGTATCCATATGGGAGCTGTCCCCCACCCCCACACTGTAAGCCCTTTTCTGCCTTTGAGCCGCTGCTTCATTTTGCAAATGACAGGACAGCCAGGAGGGAACCGCACTCCACAGGGCTTCTTGGAGGACCTGTGTCTGCGCATCCACTTCCCCTAGCTGGGGTCCTAGCACATATCCTTGAGTGGGGCCCCCTCCTGACCTAGAGTCTGGGGAGAAATCAACTCAGTCCCAAAGAGATACCTCCATGCCTGGGAACCAGGTGGAGTGGTCTTTTTCGGGGCGCACGGGGCTACACCTAGCAGTGTTCAGGAGTGACCCTTGGTGGTGACTGGAGATGGGAACTTGGTCCTAGGTGGCAAGTGTCTTAACTTATGTGTTCTCTTTGAGCTACGGGATTTTTTTTTGTGCTTTTTGGGTCACACCCAGCGATGCTCAGGGGTTACTCCTGGCTCTGCGCTCAGGAATTACGCCTGGCGTTGCTCAGGGGACCATATGAGACTCTGGGAATCGAACCCGGGTCGGCCGTGTGCAAGGCAAACGCCCTACCCGCTGTGCTATTGCTCCAGCCCCAAGCCATGGGATTTTTTTTTTTTTTTGCTTTTTGGGTCACACCCAGCGATGCTCAGGGGTTACTCCTGGCTGCGCTCAGGAATTACGCCTGGCGTTGCTCAGGGGACCATATGGAACTCTGGGAATCGAACCCGGGTCAGCCGTGTGCAAGGCAAACGCCCTACCCGCTGTGCTATTGCTCCAGCCCCAAGCCATGGGATTTTTTTTTTTTTTTTTTGCTTTTTGGGTCACACCCGGTGATGCTCAGGGGTTACAGAGCCATGGGATATCTTTCTTGTTCCGCTTCTGCTCAGGGCTTTACTCCTGGCAAATATTCTCTCTTTTATTGGGGGGGGAGGGGGGATTTGGGCCACTGCTGGATGTGCTCTTGCTTTTGTGCTCATGGATCACTCCTGCACATGCTCAAGGAGTCCTATGGGGGGCGGGGGTGCTGGAGTGACAGCACAGTGGGTAGGGCATTAGCCTTGCATGCGGCCAACCCGGGTTTGATTCCCAGCATCCCATGTGGTCCCCCACATCCCATGTGGCACACTGAGGCATAATTCCTCAGTACAGAGCCAGGAGTAAACGCTGGGCATCGCCGGGTGTGACCCAAAAAGGAAAAAAAAAGGGGGGGTCCTATTGGAGCATGGGGGACCAAATGGGGGCTGAGTTGTGTCAAGCACCTTAACCACTGCACTGTTGCTCTAGTCCCAGCTAACATTTTTGTTTTGGGGTCACATCAGCAGTGCTTGGCAGGTAACCGCTGGTGAACCACAGGTAACCAGATAACAGTGGCAGGTAACCACTGGCAGGGTCAACTATGTGCAAGGTAGGAGATCTCCCCGCAGTCCTATAGCTCTGGACCCATTATTATTTTTTTTTCCTTTTTGGGTCATACCCGGCAATGCTCAGGGGTCATTCCTGGCTTTGCACTCAGGAATCACTCCTGGCGGTGCTCGGGGGGACCATATGGGATGCTGGGATTCGAACCCGGGTGGGCCGCGTGCAAGGCAAACGCCCTCCCCGCTGTGCTATCGCTCCAGCCCCCCAGTAAGTATTTTTTGTTTTCTCTCCTTTCAGCATCTAATTTAGTCCCTGCGCTAAATGCTACTCCCAATTCTCTTAAATGTCAAGGGTTTTTGGTTTTTTTTTTGCTTTTTGGGTCACACCTGGCAATACACAGGGGTTAGTCCTGGCTCTGCACTCAGGAATTACTCCTGGCGGTGCTCAGGGGATGGGATGCTGGGACTTGAACCCGGGTCGGCTGCGTGCAAGGCAAATGCCCTACCCGCTGTGCTATCGCTCCAGCCCAATGTCAAGGGTTTTTCATGGGCCTGGGAGGGGAGAACCCCAAATGCTGCATACTGGGACACGGAGTCTGCGGGACACACTGAGGACCTACCATGTGCTCCATGCTCTGAGTGGCTTTGTGGGGTTACATGCACGTGTGTCACGAGTCTGTGGGGACCTGGCACCTCGCTGTCCCTTGCCACCACCAACCCCACCCCAGGACCGGGGGCACCGGGCGACCCGGGGCCGTGTCAATACATTTTTATTTTTCGTTCTTCCCGCCTGGGCGACATGTGGAGAGTGTGCAAAAATGGTGATGGGCAGTGTGGGCGCGCCCCGCCGTCACCCACCCTGGTCCCCGGGTCTCTGAAACACGGAGGAGGGGACACCCAGGAAGTGGGAGCGTGTATCAGAGCGTGAATCCCCACCCCAGGAAGCGCCGGGGAGATTGCATGTGACGCTACTGCTGCTGCTTTTTGGGGTTCTGGGAGCACCGAGAGACTCCACCGCGAGGGTGGTTGAGGCCCTCGGGGGGTGGGGGACCGCGGGGGTGGGGGACACTGTTGGACTTTGGCACTGGTCTCACTTGTCACTAGGCAGAGACCACGGCCCCCCACCAGGGGGCTGGGGCCACAGTAAAGAAGGGAAGTGGAGGCTGGGGGACGTCCCCCCCCCTGGGCTCCCCCAGCTAGGAGGAGGCTTGAACCCCTCATCACTGCCAAGGCGGCAAAATGGGAGTGTCACACATGGGGAAAGGTGGGGCGGAAATGTCCACTTCCGGGCAGCCGGTCTGCCCTCGCCCCCCAGGGGCAGAGCCGGGAGCCCCCTCAGCTGACGCTGCACGGTCGTGGGGACTTTGGTTTGGACCGCAGGGGCCGTGCTGCCTGCACCAGGCTGTCCCCCACCCCAGCAGCAGCTGCGGCTGCCAGAGGCCGGGCCCGATGGACCCTGCCGGCCCCCTTCCGTTCTCAGGCCTCCTCCAGCCCGGACCCTTCCCAGCAGGGCACACTTGTCCGGCAGAACTGCGCGGGGCAGGCGGCTGACCTCCCCGTCTTGGCTCGGCTTCCTGCCCTCGCTGCTGTCCCCCGGGGCCAGCGGTCCAGGCCCGGCCCGGCCCTCCCCTAGGCGTCCAGCTGCGCTGGGGGCGGGCTGCGGGCGGGGAGTTCCAGAAGTGGGGTTCGCGCCGAGCCCCGCGGCGCCCCCGGCCCTGGCTCCTCCGGGCACGGCCTCAGTTGTCCAGGCCCTGGCTGTAGGGCGCGGCCAGCTCGTCGGCGTCGCTGTCCGAGCTGCCCTCGCTGTCCTTGGGCGGCCGCTCGAGGCGGCGGAAGAAGCGCGCGTCGCGGGGGGACAGCGGGTACAGGGCGCCCTGCAGCGCCGCGCCCACGCCCAGCAGCTCCTCGTCCGACGACGGCAACGAGTCCTCGTCCAGGTGGCGCGCCAGGCCCAGCCCGTCGAAGGCCAGCGGGTCCTCGAAGGCCGGCGGGCCCTTCAGCAGCCGCACCTGGGGCGGGCGGGGAGGCGGCGCTGGAGCCGGGCGGGGAGGGAGCCGCGCGCGCCCCCCCGCCGCGCACCCCCACCCCTTCCCGAGCCCGAGCCCCGCAGGCGCCGCCCCGCGCTCACCTCCGCCTTCAGCTCCTCGATCTGGTCCTTGAGCTCGCGGATGTACTGCGACGAGTCCGAGTGGTTCAGCTGGCCCTGGATGCGGCCCTCCTCCCGCTGCGGGAGCCGCCTGGTCACCGCGGGGCGGGTGCCCGACGGGTCTCACCCCTCCCCGCCCCGGTCCAACCCGGGCCCCGCCCCAGGGCTTGGCCCCGCCCCGAACCCATCCAGGCCCCGCCTCGAAGCCATGCCACGCCCCTTTTACCATAGGCCCTGCCTCTCCCCTCCCAGGACCTAACCCCGCCCCAGACGACCCGCCTGGTCACCGCGGGGCGGGTGCCCGACGGGTCTCACCCCTCCCAGCCCCGGTCCAACCCAGGCCCCGCCCCGGGGCTTGGCCCCGCCCCGAATTCACCCAGGCCCCGCCTCAAAGCCATGCCACGCCCCTTTCGCCCTCGGCCCCGCCCCTCCCCCAGGACCTAGACCCGCCCCAGACGACCCTCCTGGTCACCATGGGGCGGATGCTCGAAGGGTCTCACCCGCCCCCGCCCCGGTCCAACCCAGGCCCCGCCCCAAAACCATGCCACGCCCCCTTTCGCCCTCGGCCCCGCCCCCTCCCAGGACCTAGCCCCGCCCCAGACGACCCGCCTGGTCACCGCGGGGCGGGTGCCCGAAGGGTCTCACCCCTCCCCGCCCGGGTCCAACCCAGGCCCCGCCCCAAAACCATGCCACGCCCCCTTTCGCCCTCGGCCCCGCCCACTCCCAGGACCTAGCCCTGCCCCAGACGACCCGCCTGGTCAACGCGGGGCGGGTGCCCGAAGGGTCTCACCCCTCCCCGCCCCGGTCCAACCCAGGCCCCGCCCCAGGGCTTGGCCCCGCCCCGAACCCACCCAGGCCCCGCCTCGAAACCGTGCCACGCCCCTTTCGCCCTCGGCCCCGCCCTCCCCTCCCAGGATTTAGCCCCGCCCCAGACTTGGCGCCACCAATCGGACGTAGGCCCCTCCCCCGGCCCCGCCCGGCCGCTCACCTGGATCTCCAGCTCGGCGATGCGCTGGCGCATCTCGGCCACCGCGGCCATGCTGTCCGCCTCCCGCAGCCGGACGGCCATCACCTCCTCTTTGCTCTGCGGGGCGCGGGGCAGAGAGGGCGGGTCACGGGGCGCGGCCGAGGCGGTGGGGGGGGGGGTGGGCGGGCGTGGGCGGGGCGCGGACCTTGCACTCGGCCTCGGCCTGCTTGCGGCGGCTCTCGCTGAGCTGCGTCTGCAGGCCCTTGTTCTGCGCCGCCAGGTACTGCAGCTTCTCCTGCAGCGCCGCGCGCTCCGCTTCCACGCGGTTGAGCAGGTTGCGGTGGATGTTGTCCTGCGGCCGGAGACGGAGGCCTTAAGCCCTCGCGCCCCCGGGGTGGGGGTGGGGGGTGCTCCGGCCCCCCCCCCCAGTTGCAGCCTGCGACCGCCGGCGCCTCCCGCGGGCCGCACCTGCGTCTCGAGCTCCACCACGCGCTGCCGCAGCTCGCGGCCGTCGGCCAGGGCCTGGGCCTCGCGCAGACGCACGCTCATCAGCTCGTCCTGCAGCTCGCCCGCCACGAGCTTCCGCGGGGACTCCTTCCAGCGGCCGCCGCGGGACAGGTGCGCCTGCGGGCCGAGGTGCGCGCTCAGCCCGCGAGCCCTGCCGCCCGGGCCAGCCCTCGCGCCGGGCCCTCACCTGCCAGGTGTCGGCGAGCTCCTGCAGCTGGCGCTTGAGCTCCCGCGCCGAAGCCACCGCCTCGCCCTCCCGCACCTTCAGGGCCTTCAGTTCCTCCTGCAGCTGCGCCACGTTGTTCTCGTCGGGCAGCGCGCTGTTCCGCTGCAGCGAGGCGGGCGCCGAGTGGGCGGGGGGCCCGGGCCGCGGGGGCGGCCGCGCGGCCCGTCCCGCTCGCCCACGGTCCCGTGTTTCTCTGTCCCCACCCTGGACGAGGCCTCCGGCAGGGGGAGCGGACTGCGGGGCGGTCGCACAGGGAGCACGCTTACCCCCGCCCCCCACCCACCCACCCCAGATGCACTGATACGCCCCCTCGAGAGGTCGTCCCGTTTGCAAAACGGGTGTCATTTCTAGGAACTGCTCTCTGGTGCCTCTGTCCCGGGCAGCTCTCGGCAGCGATCCAGGTGCCGCCCTTTTTTCAATCGAAAAGCCGAGAACTTCTGCATGACCAGGCCAGGGATGCGGCCCTTCGTCCCAGGGAAGCCCTCACCCCAGAAACGTTTTGTCCTGGTATCCTGGGGACACGTGTCCTCCTGACGTGAAGGCGGGAGCTAGAAGCTTAGCTGCAGCAGGGACACTTGTGGGGGGGCACCCCAAAGGGATAGGCTGGGGAAGGGGTTGGACCACTGCTCCCACCCAGCGGGTGGGCCTGCTGCCCCCTACTCGAGGAGCCCCTAGGTGGCCTTGCTGGGGGCTTCTCTGCCTTCATCAGGGTCCCTCCACAGGCTTGGAAACCAGCGGGCTGGGGGGACTCTTAGGGAACTCACAAAAGCCATCACAATTGTGGCACTGTGCCTTGACATGACACATAGGACATGGCACTGAGGTTATGCCCTCGTGTGTGTGCGCGCACATGTGTGTTTATGTAAGTGAGCATGCACGTGTGTATACGGCCATGTGCATGTGTGTACATATAAGTTTATCTGCGTGTTGCCTGTGTGTGAGCATTTTGTAGATGTGCACATGTGTATGACTGCATGTGGTGTTTTCATTGATATTTGCAGGCCACACCTGGCGATTCTCAGGGGTTCCTTCTGGCTCTGCATTTAAGAATCCCTCCTGGCAGTGCTCAGGGACCCTATGGGATGCTGGGATTGAACCGATGTCAAGCGCATGCAAGGTAAACACCCTCCCCGCTGTACCATCACTCTGGTTCCCTGGATATGTTTTTTGTTTTTGCTTTTTTTTGGGGGGGAGTCACACCTGGCGATGCACAGAGGTTACTCCTGGCTCATGCACTCAGGAATTACTCCTGGCGGTGCCCAGGGGACCATATGGGATGCTAGGAATCGAACTCAGGTCGGCCGCATGCAAGGCAAACGCCCTACCCGCTGTGCTATTGCTCCAGCCCCTATCTTTAATTTGAAGGCCACACTGGCGATGCACAGGGGTTACTCCTGGCTCATACACTCAGGAATTACTCCTGGCGGTGCTCAGGGGACCTTATGGGATGCTGGGAATCGAACCCGGGTCGGCCGCGTGCAAGGCAAATGCCCTACCTGCTGTGCTATCACTTCAGCCCCTAAAATATTTTTTTTCTTTTTGGGTCACACCCAGCGATGCACACGGCTCACTCCTGACTCTGCACTCAGGAGTTACTCCTGGGCGGTGCTCTGGGGACCCTATGGGATGCTGGGAATCGAACCCGGGTCGGCCGCGTGCAAGGCAAACGCCCTACCCGCTGTGCTATTGCTCCAGCCCCATCCCTGGATATGTTTTTATGCACGCGTACGCACGTGTATATACGCACAAGTGCTTGCATCCATGCACACGTGTGTATACACATGCACACATGTGTCACATGTTACAAATATGAATGCATGCTTCTGCGCATGTATGTATGGCGTGTACATGCGTGTGTTTACAGGCACGTGCATATATGTGATGTGTGCATCTGTATTGTGCGAGTGTGTATTTGTGTAGTGTGTTTGTGTAGCGTATTTATAAATGCGTCTCTATGTGAATATGCACCTCCAGGGTTGGCCACTGGCCTCCCCTGACCCAGCGTCCCTTGTGCCTGGCTCCTGGCACGGTGACAGTGGAGGTGATGGCGGGGGCCCCTGCGCACCTTTTCCATGTCCAGCACCTTGTCCTGCAGCTCCCGCAGGGCGCCCAGCGTCTCGGCCTCTCGCAGCCTCGACTGCTCCAGCTCGGTCTCCAGGTGGGTCACAAAGTCCTCAGTGAGCCGCGGGTTCTCCTGGAGGCAGGCACGGGGCTGCTGCGGCACCGGCTTGGACAGGGTGGTCGCTCCCTGCCAGCGCCAGTGAGTCCAGATTGGGAAGGGGGGTCCCCTCACAGAGCACCCCCACACTCTGGGGGTCAGAATTTCCTCTCTGACGGGGCTGGTGCTCTGGCTCAGGGGTCCAGATACTTGCTTGGGTGGCAACTTTTTTTTTTTTTTTTTTTTTTTTTTTTGCTTTCGGGTCATACCCAGCAGTGCTCAGGGGTTACTCCTGGCTCTGCACTCAGGAATTACTCCTGGTGGTACTCAGGGGACCATACCTAAGGGATACTGGGGATCGAACCTGGGTTGGGCCATGTACAAGGCAAATATTCTCCATGCTACACTAATGCCCTGGCTCCGACTTTTTTTTTTTTTCCTGCCACTGGCTCCTGGCTCTGCACACAGAAGTCACTCCTGGCGGAGCTCAGGGGACCCTACAGGGTGTGGGGAAGGAATCCAGGCTGGCCTTGTTGCAAGATAAGCACCCACCCCACTGTACTCTCACTCTGGCTCCGTATTTTTTTTTTTTTGCCTTTTGGGTCGCACCCGGTGATGCACAGGGGTTCCTCCTGGCTCTGCACTCAGGAATTACTCCTGGCGGTGCTCAGGGGACCATATGGGATGCTGAGAATCGAACCCGGTTGGCCGCGTGCAAGGCAAACACCCTCCCCGCTGTGCTATCGCTCCAGCCCCTGGCTCCGTATTTTTACCTTATTCCTGAGAAAGCTACGCAGAGGGAACCTTCTGGATTTTTTTTGGGGGGGTGTGTGTCACAACTAGAATTGCCATGGCTACTCCCAGTTTGGTGCTCAGGTGAAGATGAGGTGCTGGGGCTTGAACCTGGGCCGCCCACAAGCAGAGCCTGCACAAAGCCCTTGGAGTTGGCCCAAGGAGACCTGCTGAAGGGATCATGGCCAAGGGCTGGCCAGGGTCACAAGAGTGGCGGTGAAGGAAGGCGGCTGGCCTCCTGTCTACCGTCACCCACTCACCCCCTTTTCGAAACAGGAAGGGTGCAGGTGGTGTTTTTCCTTCTTTTTTTTTTTTTTTTGCTTTTTGGGTCACACCAGGCAATGCACAGGGGTTACTCCTGGCTCATGCACTCAGGAATCACTCCTGGTGATCCTCGGGGGACCCTATGGGATGCTGGGAATCGAACCCGGGTCGGCTGCATGCAAGGCAAACACCCTACCCGCTGTGCTATCGCTTCAGCCCCAGGTGTTTTTCCTTCTCACACCTGCAAGGTCAGTGTTCTATCACTGGAACCCCCAGCCCCAAACAGAAAGGAATGGGGAAGAGGTTTCTGGGCTAACTTTTTTTTTTGAGAGGGGGTGTGGTTTGGGCCACACCTGCACAGCTGACAGTGTTCCGGGCTTACTCGTGACTCTTTGTTCAGGGATCAGCCCTGGTGGTGCTCGGGGGACCTCATGGGATGCCGGGGATAGAACCTGGGTTAACCGTGTACAAGGACAATGACCTCCCTACTGTCCTATCACTCTGGCCCCTGGACTTATTTTCAGGCTCAGTGCCGAGAGATTTCCAGTGGGGGCCCTGGGTACGGCTGGGGTTCAGTCGTGAAGATCAGCGTGGCTGAGGGAGACGACAGGGGCCTGGTGGGTTCCCCCATCTTTTGTCCTAATGGCAGTTCTCTGGGAGACTGTCTCGGCTCCCCGCGTCTTCACCTGCTCCCCCAGAGGGGGCCTCCTCTGCTGGGTTTCTTCTCAGGCCCCCTGGGATCCCACAAAGCAGGTGCTCCTCCCTGGGCCCTCCTGGGTTCCCTAAGGGCCTCTTAGGGAAACGGTGCCCCGGGCACCCCTTCTGCCATCCTTCCTCCCATGCTTGCAGGATCTCCCTGCCTCACCTCTCTGTTCTCTTTGGACGGGCTCAGCTTTCACGTCTCCCTAAAAAGGTCGTGTCCTGCTGGAGCAATAGCACGGTGGGTAGGGCGTTTGCCTTGCACGCAACCGACCTGGGTTCGATTCCCAGCATCCCATATGGTCCCCCGAGCACCGCCAGAAGTAATTCCCGAGTGCATGAACCAGGAGTAACTCCTGTGCATCGCTGGGTGTGACCCAAAAAGCAAAAATAAAATAAAATAAAAAGGGGTGTCAAGGGGCTGGAGTGATAGTAACGAAACGAAAACGAAAAGGCCCTCCCGTTGATCGTCGATTTGCTCGAGCGGGCCCAGTAACGTCTCCATTGGAGACTTTGTTGTTACTGTGTCTGGCATATCGAATATTCTCGGTAGCTTGCCGGGCTCTCCGAGAGGGGCGGAGGAATCGAACTTGGGTCGGCCATGTTGGCCGCTTGTGAGGCAAACGCCCTACCCGCTGTGCTATCGCTCCCTTCGATAGCTCAGCTGGTAGAGTGGAGGACTATAGACAGCAGTACTGTGAGACATCCTTAGGAGTGATAGTGAACCCCCCAAAATAAAAACAAAAAAAGGTGGTGTCAGGGGTCAGAGCAAATACTACAGTAGGCAGGGCATTTGCCTTGCACACGACTGACCTGGGTTCGATTCCCAGCATCCCATATGGTTCCCCAAGCACCTCCAGGAGTAATTCCTGAGTGTAGAACCAGGGGTAACCCCTGAACATTGCTGGATATGACCAAATAAGCTAGGGTCGGAACAACAGGACAGTGGGGAGGGCATGTGTCTTGATGCAGCTGACTGGGCACTCCAGCTGGTCCCCCAAATCTGCCAGGAGTGATCCCTCGGTGCAAAGCTACAAATAAGCCCTGAGCACCACCGGACGTGACCCTAAAAATCCCCCCCAAATTAAAATAAGGTTGTGCCAGCACTGTGTAGGCTGGAGTTCTGAGGTAGTGGGAGGTACACCTGGAGGAGGAAGATGAAGCCCGAACACCCTGTTCCTGTTCTTGGGAGCAGAGTGAACCCCAAGTACCCAGCCACACCCTGGGGTTAAGTCTCCAGATCACAGATGATTTTTCTTTTTCTTTTTTTTTTGGTGACAACTGATGGTGCTCAGGGCTCACTCCTGGCTGGGCTCAGGAGACCCAATGGGATGCCGGGGATTGAACTGAGGTTGGCTACATGCAAGGCAAATGCCTTAACTATCTATTCAGCACCCGCAGATGACCCCCTACTCTGTATCAGAGATTGGATTTGGAACTTCATGCATGCTCGACCACTTTACCACTGTTTTTGGGGAGCGTACCCTCAGCCCTGAATAGCAGGAGGTGGACGGGGCCTGGAGCTTATGGTGGGAGTACAGGGCGGGGCTTGGGGGCCCGCAGCTGCCTGTGGATTTATTAGATAAGGGGACTCTGTATCTGGGTTTCTCCCACCATTGGATCTAGAGTTTTTTTTTTTTTTTTTTTTTGCGGGAGCACACCAGGCAATGCTCAAGTGTTACTCTGCACTCAGGATTCACTCCTGGCGCGCTCTGGGCAACCCTATGGGATGCTGGAGATGGAACCTGGGTCGGCCGGGTGCAAGCAAGCACCCTACTGGCGCTGGATCTAGAGTTCTTGACCCCACAACGCATGATGACTCAGGTCAACGGGACCCAGGCCTGGGCACTAGAGGAGGGAGCCCTCTCTTTCTGGTCCTCTGTACTAGCGCCAGTGTGGCAAGACTGGCCCCTGGGGGAGCCCAAGAGCCCTTGTGATCTCGGGGAAGAGGCCGTGAACCGTGGCCTTTTGACTATCCGGTTCCCAGGGCGGTGGAGGGAAGAGCAGAATCCCCTTCCCGACCCCCGCCCCGCCTTGGAGGGCTGCTCGCAGCTGGGGTATGTATGTGCACCAGGCCTTGGATGCACTTCGCTTTCCGCCCCACTGCCAGGCCCCGGTCTAGGCTTAAAAGCCAGGAGCACCAGGGCTGGAGCGGGCCGCTGCCAGCCTGTAAAGGCGCTGCGATGGGCTTGGCTACAGGAGGCCACGCCCACCCGAAGTCCCGGGCTAGAGCGGGCGGCTGCCAGCCCGGGAAGGAGCTGCCGTGGGCGTGGCTACAGGAGGCCACGCCCACCCGAAGTCCCGGGCCAGAGCGGGCGGCTGCCAGCCTGGGAAGGCGCTGCTGTGGGCGTGGCTACAGGAGGCCACGCCCACCCGAAGTCCGGGGCTAGAGCAGGCGGCTGCCAGCCTGGGAAGGCGCTGCTGTGGGCGTGGCTACAGAACGCCACGCCCACCCGAAGTCCCGGGCTAGAGCAGGCGGCTGCCAGCCTGGGAAGGCGCTGCTGTGGGCGTGGCTACAGGAGGCCACGCCCACCCTAAGTCCGGGGCTAGAGCGGACGGCTGCCAGCCTGGGAAGGAGGTGCTGTGGGCGTGGCTACAGGAGGCCACGCCCACCCTAAGTCCCGGGCTAGAGCGGACGGCTGCCAGCCTGGGAAGGCGCTGCTGTGGGCGTGGCTACAGAACGCCACGCCCACCCGAAGTCCCGGGCTAGAGCAGGCGGCTGCCAGCCTGGGAAGGCGCTGCTGTGGGCGTGGCTACAGGAGGCCACGCCCACCCTAAGTCCGGGGCTAGAGCGGACGGCTGCCAGCCTGGGAAGGAGGTGCTGTGGGCGTGGCTACAGGAGGCCACGCTCACCCGAAGTCCAGGGCTAGAGTGGGCGGCTGCCAGCCCAGGAAGGAGCTGCTGTGGGCGTGGCTACAGGAGGCCACGCCCACCCGAAGTCCCGGGCTAGAGTGGGCGACTGCCAGCCTGGGAAGGCGCTGCTGTGGGCGTGGCTACAGGACGCCACGCCCACCCAAAGTCCGGGGTTGAAGCTCAGGACTGGAGTGGGCGGCTCCCAGCCCGTGGGCGTGGCCACCACCGGCCCCGCCCCACTCCCCGCCCCCTACCTGCTGTTCCTGCAGCTGCCGGATGGTGCTCTGCGCCTTCTGCAGGTCCTCGGTGGCCGAACTGCACTGCTGTCGCACCACCGCCAGCTCCCGCTTGATGACATAGTTCTCCTCGGCTTCCTGCGCCCGCGTCACCTGCCCCTGAGCACAGCGAGGACAGGAGGTGGCCTATGACCCTCGGGTTCCCGTTCCCCGGCTCCGGTTACCCAGCCAGGCCAGAGGCGGGACGGGGAGGGAAGAGGGATGGAGGCTTCGGGCCAGGAGAGCCTGGGATGGGGTGACTCCCATCCCCCACCCCCCACCTCGGGGACTGGGCTGCAGGAGTGGCCAGGATCTGCCAGGGCCTGAGTGGGGAACTGGGGTGCCCCAGGCTTCTCCCCGGCTGGCCCAAGTGCGGAAAGTAAATCTTGATCCAGAAGCTGGACTCTGTGTGCATGTGTGACGCGGGGGCGGGGGGAGCGGTGTCCCCAGTCTCAGGGGGGCCTCCTAAGGCCAGCTGGGGAGACGGGACTGTGGGGTTTTCAACCGCCTCCCCTCCCCGCAATCTCATCCCCTCGCGCCCACCCAAGCAGGGCCCCCATTCCAGGCTCGGAGCCACCAGGGAGTGGGGCAGAAGCTTCCAGAAAAAAAAAAAGCCATGCAAGATGAGGCGCCAGAAGCAATGCGGGAAGATGCCAGGTTTGGAGGAAGGAGCAGAGAGGCATGATGGGCTGCAAGGCGCGAGCGTGTGTGTGTGTGTGTGTGTGTGTGTGTGCACGCGCAGGTGCATTCAGGGAGGCTCAGAGCAGTATCCGGGGTGAGCCCCGAGTTTCTGAGCCGCCCTGGACCCCCCCTCCCAGTGTCCCTGGTCAGAGGACACTGCACTCAGACACCAGACACCTCCCACGCATTCCCCTTCCCCCACCCCCTGCGCCACACACACACACTCTGTCTCCCCACCCCGAGGAGTCTCCCAGATGCCCCATGCATGGCACCGGGCTGCCGCCCCCGCGCCCTCCCCATCCCAGGGATGGCAGCGGCCAGGGAAGAGGCGGTCACTGGCTGTGGTGAGCGGGGGACCACGGAGGCACGTGGAGGAGGAGGCAGAGAAACTACAGTACCTGGATCAACCTATCAGCCAGGGCCGCACTCTCCTACCCAGACGAGGGGGGTCCGAGCGACAGGGGGAGGAGGCAGAGCGGAAGACGCGGGGGTGGGGGTGGGGGGAGACGGGATGGGGAGAGATAGACAAGAAGCACTTGTCACTAAGACACGCGAGCGACTATCTCTAGAAGCAGGGAGAGAGGAGTGAGCCCCGAGAACCAGACAGAGGACCCTGGAGGAAGACCCAAGCCAGCAGCAGCTCCGTCCTGGAGAGGGGTCTGTGTGCAAAGGGGAGACGGGGGGGGGGCGCCTGGTGATGTGGAGGGACCCCTTCTTCCCTTGCATCTTTTCTCTGTTTGGGGGGCGACACCGGGTGATGCTCAGGGGTTCTACCTGGCTCTGCACTCAAGAAATTACTCCTGGCAGTGCTGGGGGGGGGGGACCCTCTGGGATGCCAAGGATCGAACCCGGGGCGTCTGCATGCAAGGCTAGCGCCCTCTCCACTGTCCTGTGGCTCGCGGTCAACCCGCTTGCCTCTTACAAACAAGTTGGGAGCTGGCAGCCCCGGTACCCCCTTCCCTTTATTTTATTTTGTTGCTTTTTGGGTCACACCCAGCGATGCACAAGGATTACTCCTGGCTTTGCACTCAGGAATTGCTCCTGGCGGTGCTCAGGGGACCCTAGGGGATGCTGGGATTCGAACCCGGGTCGGCCGCATGCAAGGCAAACGCCCTACCCACTGTGCTATCCCTCCAGCGCCCCCCACCTCCCCTTAAAGCCTGACTGTGCCCTCTTCACCTTCCACCCCGATCCAGGTGGCCCAGGAGGGCAGGGGGCACAGGTGGACTGTGAGGTGTATGGTTAAGGGGGGGGAACTCCACCCCCACCCCCAAGTCAAATTTTCCCCAGTCCCTGCGGGTCCCAACATCCCCCCACCCCCCCACGCTTCAAGGGCCAGCTGACGCGCTGTGGGCGGGGTCCCCTGCGGCCGGGCCCGGAAGGGGCGGTGCCACAGCCACTGGCCACGCCCCTCACCTTCTCCAGGGTCTCGATTCGCTGTTTCAGCAGTCGGTTCTCCGTGCGCAGCCTCTGCCGGGGAGACGGGGGAGGCAGGTCAGGGGTCTGGCGATCACACAGCGATGGGCCTGGGACCCACTCAGGACCCCCACAGCTGTCACTTCCCGGACCGGCGGTCCTGAGACCCGGGCTCTGGCTCCCACCCTTGATGGTGCTGCGGGGGGCAGGGGGCGTAGGGGGTGGTGCTCTCCGTGGTGCTGGGGTGCAATCAGGGGTTCTCACGTGCAATGATGCCCTGCAGCCTATGAGATTGCTTTCTGGTCCGGCTGCTAAATTTTGGATTGCTATATATATATATATATATATATTTTTTTTTTTGGTGTGTGTGTGTGGTGATGGTGGTGTGCTCAGGGGCTACTCGGGCGAACGTGTACCCCAGAGGGGAGAACCGGGGGACAGCTGCATGCATTGCGTTGCTGTTTCTGCTTGGAGGTCCCCCCCCCCCCGACCTTTTGGAAAGCAGGGAGGCAGTCTGACGTTTGTCGGTGTTTGGGAGACCCTATGCCCCGGTACCCTCAGCTCTGGGATGGGCATCACTCCAGGTGGTGCTGGCGATCCGAGGAGGCGCCTTTCCTGGAGCAGGGGTTAACGTGCTGTGTATGTGCTGTTTTGTTTTGTGTCACACCCAGAGGTGCTCGGGGCTTCCTCCTGGCTCTGCGTTCAGGGATCACTCCTGGCAGTGCTGGGGGACCATAGAACGTTCTGGGGATGGTTGGCTGCGTGCAAGGCAAGTGTCCTCCCCGCTGTTCTATGGCTCGAGTCCCTGTTTGTGAAGTGGGTATTATTATTATTATTATTATTATTTTGCTTTTTGGGTCACACCCAGCGATGCTCAGGGGTTACTCCTGTCTCTGCACTCAGGAATTACTCCTGGCAGTGCTTGGGGGACCATATGGGACACCAGGGATCGAACCCACATCAGCCGTGTGCAAGGCAAATGCCCTACCCACTATTCTATTGCTCCGGCCCCAGGTATTATAATTATTATTAGTTTGGGAGCCGCACCTGGTGATGCTCAAGGGTTATTACTCCTGGCTCTGTGCTCAGGAATTATTGGTGTTGCTCAGGGAACCATATGGGATGCTGGGCATCGAACCTGGGTCAGCTGCGTGCAACTGACCTGCTGTACCATCATGGGCAGGGCGATTTCTTCCCTCCCTTCTGTACTATCTCGCCAACCCCTCACGAAGAAGATATTATTGGGCTGGGAGCTGGCTCAGAGGGTTGGCACGTGTGCTTGGCATCTGAGGGGGCCCTGGGTTCGATGTCCAGCCCTGTGTGCCCAGTGGTGTTGGCCGGTGGTCCCTGAGCTCTGCTGGGGAGAACAGAAGGTGAGGAGAAGCTGCGATCTGAATCCTGTTCTTGTGGGATCAGCCCCGGAAGATGATGAGGGGCCAGGGTTCTTTCCTTCCACTCGGCCAACCTGGGTTGGATGCTCAGCACCACACAGGGCCCCTGAGCCCTGCCAGGAGTGATCCCTGAGTGCAGAGCCAAGAGTAAGCCCTGAGCACTGTTGGGTGTGCCCCCCCCCAAACAAAACAAAACAAAACAAAAAAACCCAAAAAAGATGAGGCCCCGTTGGCCTATGGGTTCATGTCCACCCATTTGGAGGAAAGTGGGGGACCCTCATTTTCTTCCACCACTTACACACAGTAGGTGCTTCATACATGCTTGGGTGGGAGGCGGGGGGGGGGGGCAGGCAGGGGGGGTGTGGGGGTGATGCCTGAGTTTAGAACCTCCTCAAGTTCTAGAATTCCCCGTGAGGCACCCAGGGGCCAGGACGTCTGCTGCTACTGGGGGTCTCGGGGCTTAGATGAAATCTTCCCCGGGGGGTGGGGGTCCCCTCCATCTGCCAGCTTCCCCCAATCCCCTCGAAGCACTCTGGGATCGGATCCTTCCCTATAGCGGTACGGGGTGGGCAGCGTGTGCTAGGCAGGGGCGCCCCCTAGCGGTGGCCACTGCGAACCAGGCCAGGCGGGAGGGATCCTGGGGTGATGTTCCGTCCCTCCACAAGCCCCCTTGTTCCTGGACCCTTTTTTTTTGCTTTTTTTTTTGGGTCACACCTGGCGATGCGCAGGGGTTCCTCCTGGCTCTGCACTCAGGAGTTACTCCTGGCGGTGCTCAGGGGACCATATGGGATGCTGGGAATCGAACCCGGGTCGGCCGCGTGCAAGGCAAACGCCCTCCCCGCTGTGCTATCGCTCCAGCCCCAAGAATTTATTTATTTTATATTTATATTTTTATTTTTTTGGCTTTTTGGGTCACACCCGGCGATGCACAGGGGTTCCTCCTGGCTCTGCACTCAGGAGTTACTCCTGGCAGTGCTCGGGTGACCATATGGGATGCTGGGAATCGAACCCGGGTCGGCCGCGTGCAAGGCAAACGCCCTCCCCGCTGTGCTATCGCTCCAGCCCCAAGAATTTATTTATTTTATATTTATATTTTTATTTTTTTGGCTTTTTGGGTCACACCCGGCGATGCACAGGGGTTCCTCCTGGCTCTGCACTCAGGAGTTACTCCTGGCAGTGCTCGGGTGACCATATGGGATGCTGGGAATCGAACCCGGGTCGGCCGCGTGCAAGGCAAACGCCCTCCCCGCTGTGCTATCGCTCCAGCCCCAAGAATTTATTTATTTTATATTTATATTTTTATTTTTTTGGCTTTTTGGGTCACACCCGGCGATGCACAGGGGTTCCTCCTGGCTCTGCACTCAGGAGTTACTCCTGGCAGTGCTCGGGTGACCATATGGGATGCTGGGAATCGAACCCGGGTCGGCCGCGTGCAAGGCAAACGCCCTCCCCGCTGTGCTATCGCTCCAGCCCCAAGAATTTATTTATTTTATATTTATATTTTTATTTTTTTGGCTTTTTGGGTCACACCCGGCGATGCACAGGGGTTCCTCCTGGCTCTGCACTCAGGAATCACTCCTGGCAGTGCTCGGGTGACCATATGGGATGCTGGGAATCGAACCCGGGTCGGCTGTGTGCAAGGCAATAACGCCCTACCCGCTGTGCTATCTCTCCAGCCCCCCTTGTTTGTTTTTGAGTCACACCATGTGGTCAGGGGGTTATTCACTGATCAATACTCCCGCGGGGGGTGGGGGGGAATCCCCGGCCGCTGGGCACAGCCCGACCCCTCCCTCCACTGAACCGTCCCTCCTGCTTGGGACTCACTTTGATCTCGATCTGCTCCTCCATCTCCTTGCTTTTCATCGCTGCATACTCCTTCTCCAGCCTGAGGAGGATATTTTTTTGGGGGGGTTGGGTGGGAGGGAAGACGCGTCTAGACTCCCAACCTGGGGCGGCACCCCCTCACCTCCAGGACCCCGCTTGGCCGGGACTCACCTCTTCATTTTCTTCGGGTTGTACTTGACCTGGTAAGCCTTGAGGATCAGCTTGTCTGGGCAGCTGTCGAACTGGTGGGGGATCACCCTCTGGAAGTACTGGGGTGGGGGACACCGGATGGGGGTCACCAACCAACCCCAGACTCAACAGCTGGGGGGGCAGGGGATGCTTGAATCCCTGCTGCCTCCAGCTGGTCTGAGGGACAATCTTGGGGGGGGAGGGGCAGGAACCAGGGTCAGCCCCTGGCACAAGGTTCTGATCAGGGTGGGAAGCCAGAATGGGGTGTGCGGGGCTGGAGAGATGGCACAGCGGGGAGGGCGTTTGCCTTGCACGCGGCTGACCTGGGTTCGATTCCCAGCATCCCCTAGGGTCCCCCTGAGCACTGCCAGGAGTAACTCCTGAGTGCAGAGCTAAGAGTAACCCCTGGGCATCGCCAGGTGTGACCCAAAAAGCCAAAAATAAATAAATAAATAAATAAAATAAATAAATTCTTGGGGCTGGAGAGATAGCACAGCGGGGAGGGCGTCTGCCTTGCACGCGGCCGACCGGGGTTCGATTCCCAGCATCCCATATGGTCCCCTGAGCACTGCCAGGAGTAACTCCTGAGTGCAGAGCCAGGAGTAACCCCTGTGCATCGCCGGGTGTGACCCAAAAAGCAAAAAATAAAAACAAAAACAGAATTGGGGAGGGGGGGAGTCCATGGACTGTGAAGACACACATGGGAGGACCCAGGAGAGCTTAATAGGCAGCACCGAGCACTGTCTTAGCATGCAGGAAGCCCGGTTTATTTATTTATTTATTATTTTCTGGCTTTGTGGGTCACACCTGGCGATGCACAGGGGTTACTCCCGGTGGTGCTCAGGGGGAATCATATGGGATGCTGGGAATTGAACCCGGGTCGGCTGGGTGTAAAGGCAAATGCACTACCCGTTGTGCTATTGCTCCAGCCCCGGAAGCCTGGGTTTGATCCCCATACTACGCGGTCCCCCCACTAAGCACTGCTGGGAGCAAGCCTGGAGCACTGAGCTGGCAGTCCCCTCCGAGCACTGCTGGGAGGGAGCACAGGCGGCCCCGATAGTTAATGAAAGCCAGGACAGGGTGGAGTCAGGGGGGCCCCGGGGAGTGATCTGATGAGGAGCTGGAGGAGAGGAAGGTGAGGAGGGTGAGGAGAAATCAGGGGAGCTGGGACCACGCATCAGGGGGTTGACCTGGAGGCAAGCCCCACCCCCAGCTTCAGCCAAAGGGTTAATAAGCGCGGCTGCTGGGGGCCCCAGCTCACTGTGGCCCTGGGGTGGGGGGGTTGGGGGCAGGCGAGATGAGATCCCGCTCTCCAGCCCAGCTGGCCTGCTCTGGCAGCCTGGACAAAGGCCGCCCGTGTCCACGGGCACAACTGTGCCCTTTGTGAATTCTTCCCTCTAGCACCAGCTGGAGGGGGCGCGGCCCGGGGCGGGGCCAGAAGGAGGCGGGGCCCGGATGGGGCGGGGCGTGTCCGGAGTCTCAGCAGCCTGGACCCCCCCCTCCCCCGCCACCCCCAGCCCTTCTGTATACCCCTTACCAGGCCAGATTTGGGGTTAGGGAGGGGAGTGGGTCGATGGCTGGTATTGCTAATTTGTCCGCTGGGACATTATGCTGGTGTGTGTGTGTGTGTGTGTGTGTGTGTGTGTGTGTGTGTTTGTGGAGAGACAGTGAGAGAGAGAGCTGGGCTGAGCTGGTGTGTGTGTGTGTGTGTGTGTGTGTGTGTGTGTGTGTGTGTTTGTGGAGAGACAGTGAGACAGAGAGAGCTGGGCTGAGCCCAAGACCAGCGCCCTCCTCCCTGTCCTAGGGCTCGGCCCCCTGGGATGTCTCTTGGGCATCTCCCCTGCACGCCCCCCGCCTCCGTGCTGACCCACCTGGGACATGCCCTCCATGTCCAGCTGCATCAGCTCCGTCTGGTTCACCTGCAGCAAGGCCAGGCCCACCCGGAACACGATCTCCAGGCCCTGCAAAAGCGGGGAGGCGGCTGGCTCAGGGGGCCGTGCTCCGGCCTCCTTCCAGGACCCGGTCCGGATGGTCTCTGGGCCCGGGGCAGGGGGTTTGAGGGTGGGGGTGGGCACAGGAGGGTCCCTGCGTGGGGATAGGCCTCACCTCGTACATGAAGATGTCGAAGACGCGGGTGGCCACGGGCAGAGGGAAGGTGGTGAGGAAGAGGGTGAGGAACCAGGACGAGGCGTACATGGACGTGTGGAAGCTCTGGGAGCGGAAGTGGGTGTTCAGGTCTGGAAGTTGTTCCTGTGGGAGTGCAGGCAGGTGAGCACTGCCCCGAGGAGAGCCCCGCTGGTCTCCCTCCACCCCAAAGTGCTGACCTTGGGGCACCCCCGCCTCCAGGGAGCCCTCCCTGATCTGCCCTGCGTGCTCTGCACCCTCAGCAGAGGCAGGTGAATATAAGGACTCATGGTTGGGAGGGGTTTGTTTTTTTTTTTTGGGGGAGGTGCTTCAGCAACTGTGCTCAGTAATTACTCCTGGCTCTGCACTCAGAGATCACTCCTGGCAGGGCTCAAAGGACCCTATGAAATGCTAGGGATCGAACCCGGGTCAGTTGAGTGCAAGGCAAGATCTCTCCGGCTCCCGTGCTCACAGAGGGATCCTCATCACTGCCCCCAGAGGCAGCTGGGGAGGCTGGGGACAGGGAGGAGGGGGTGGTCCCAAAGTCAGGGAGAGAGAGAGGTACCTCTAACTCCTGATCTTGGGGGCCACTGCGCCCCTTTCCCAGGAAGACTTGCCTCTACGCTACTACTGGGAACTCTGGTCAGATGGCCCTGAACTCCTGACTGAAGGAAGGGGCAGAGACTGGGGAAACCGAGGCAGGGGATGGCGTTAGGACCCTGCTGGGTGTCATTCACCAGAGTGCAGACTGCCCGCTCCACACACACACCCATCCCTCCCACCCCCCCAGGTGACAGCTACCTCTGCAGTCCCATTTCTCTGGCCTCGGGTCACACGCTAGCCAGCAGGTCCCCAGGAGAGACAGCGTTTCCCCATAGTGAGGGGGACCCTCTCAACCAGACCCCCCCCCCACCATGTCTGCTGAGGGCAGGAGGAAGCTGGGACATACATGCGTGTGCGTGTGTGTGTGTTTGTTTGGGGGACACATCCAGCTACAACCAGAGGTTACTGCCAGTGCTGTGCTCAGGGATCACTCCTGGCCATGCTCAGGGGCCCCTAATGGGATGCCGGGAATTGAACCCGGGTCCGCTGTGTGCAAGGCCAGTGCCCTCCTCGCTGTCCTATCTCTCCAGCACTGTGGGACCCCGCCTCTCCCCCCCGGCTCTGTTCCCCCCACCAGCCAGGCTGGCAGACACATTGGTCTCTCTGCTTCGCCTTGGCCCAGCTGACCGCTAGAACCAGGGGTGTCAGGTCCAGCCGAGCCTGGAGCTCTGGGAGTTTCAGGAGGTTCCGCTGTCCCTGGCACGGCCCCTGGCCATCCCCAGACGCTGCCCGGCCCGGCCTCACCTGCAGCATGTACTCGAACTGGTAGATGCAGAGGCCCAGCTCGGCCATGCTAGGTTTGAAGAGCTCCCGCAGGCGGTATTCCTGCATCAGCCGCACGAAGACGCAGAAGGCCTCCTCCTCGGGCATCTGCGGGGACCGAGAGCCTGGGCAAGGGGGGGGCGAGGTGGGGGGCCCTTTCTCCTTTCCCTGCCTGGCCAGGGCCGCCGGCCTGGACCCTTCCAACAAAGCCACCAGCAGAGCCGGGGAGCTGTTCTTTTTTTTTTCTTTTTGGGTCACACCTGGCTTTGCACAGGGGTTCCTCCTGGCTCTGCACTCAGGAATCACTCCTGGCGGTGCTCAGGGGACCCTATGGGATGCTGGGAATCGAACCCGGGTTGGCCGTGTGCAAGGCAAACGCCCTACCCTCTGTGCTATCGCTTCAGCCCAGAGCCGGGGAGTTGGTTCTCCAAGGCTGCCATGGAGGGTACGGCCCCAGATTCCATCCTTGGCACTGCGTGGTGTCAAGGCACTGTGTAGCATGGAGGAAGGAGGCCATCCTCACCGAGGCAAATCATCATCCCCCTCACTGATGCTGTATTCTGGAGAGTGGGATGCTGGCCCGGCTGAGCTCAGGGAACCCTGGGGTACTGGGACTCCCGGCTTCTCTCCAACCCTTTGACCTGTGCCCCCATTTCCGCTTTCCACTCCTTCAGCTGAAGTCACCCCAGAAGGCTCCCTGGCACAGATGGAACCCTCTTCCCTCCCCCTTCCAGCGTCTCCCTTCTCTCCTTCTCCATCCTTGAACCCCAACTCCAGCCCAGGTCTCTGGTCCACCCCGGGGAGCTCCCTGGGCCTTGTGGAAGTGCCGGGGGATAGGAGAGGTGGCTCTCGCAACTGGCCCTGCCCACTTGGCTTGGGGACAACCAGTGGTTGTGGATGGATGGGGGGCCACCCCCGTAGCTTGTGTCCTGGTCCTGGGGGACACGTACCTGCATAAGCAGAAGGCCCACGATGAAGGCGCTGCCCTGGCAGTAACCCACTTCTCGGTCCACCAGTGAGTAGGCCTGTGAGGGGACACGGTGCGGGCGTCAGGGCTGGGGCTGCAAAGACGGGCCCCCTCCTCCTTGGTGGCCCACTTGTCAGGGACACTCTCATGACATTGTTTGATTCTGATGGGGAGCGTCACATCCAGCGGTTGCTCGGGGCTGACTCCTGGCTCTGCATTCAGGGATCCCTCCTGGCGGGGCTCGGGGGACCCTGTGGGGTGCCTGGGATCGAACTTGGGTTGGCTGCATGCAAGGCCAGCGCCGCACCCACTGTACTATCTCTGGCCCCATGACATTGTTTTATTATTATTATTATTTTGGCTTTCGGGGTCACATGCAGTGGTGCCCAGGACTTACTGGGACTCAGTGGACCCTGTGGGGTGCTGGGGGGCCCAAGTCAGGTCCACTGCATGCAAAGGCGAGCAAGTGCCTTCCCCACTGTGCTATTGCTCCAAGACCCGCATAACTGCATTATTATTATATTATTATAATTATTATTTTTTGCTTTTAGGGTCACACCCACTGATGCACAGGGGTTCCTCCTGGCTCATGCACTCAGGAATCACTCCTGGGAGTGCTCGGGGGACCATATGGGATGCTGGGAATCGAACCTGGGTTGGCCGCGTGCAAGGCAAACGCCCTCCCCGCTGTGCTATTGCTCCAGCCCCTTATTAATATTATTATTATTGTTCGATTCTTCCGCCCCTCTCAGAGAGCCTGGCAAGCTACTGAGAGTATCGCGCCCACACGGCAAAGCCTGGCAAGCTCCCCGTGACGTATTCAATACGCCAAACACAGTAACAAGTGTCACAGTGGAGACGTTACTGGGGCCGCTCGAGCAAATCGATGAACAACGGGAGGACCGTGACCGTGATTATTATTTGGAGAAGGGGGCACAGCCAGTGGTGCTCAGGGCCGACTTCTGGCTCTGCGCCCTGGGAACCCCTCCCGGAAGGGCTGGGGGTGCCAGGCCCGGGCCACCGGTACCTTCATGACGTTGAACAGGACCTCCTGGCCCAGGCTGTCCTGGCCCTTGAAGAAGTCGTGCTCCGGGTAGGTGCGGGCGATGTCGCGGCGGATGAGTTTCTCACAGGGCGAGGACATCTTCAGCAGCTCCGAGTACTGGTTCTTGACCGGCATGTCGGTGGCACTGCACAGGAGCTGCCACACGATGGCCCGGAAGTGGTGCGGGATGCCTTTGCGGATCAGTTCCTGGGGACGGCGTGGGGGGCCGGGCTGGATGCGGGGAAGTGGGTCTGGCCCGCACCCGCACAAGGGTCCACGGTGTGTGTCTTCAACCCTCTCCCTTACCACCCCCACCTCCCGGGGGACCGGCCCATCTCCACTCAGGCTGTCTGCCGCCCAGGTTGGCACCCTCACCCCTGGCCACACCACCCTGTGGCCGGAAGTGCCACCCAGGCCACCCTCGGCCCAGCCATCCGTGGCTGGAAGTACCACCCCGGCCACCCCCAGTCACACCATCCCGTAGCCGGAAGTGCCACTCAGGCCATCCCATGGCTGGAAGTACCACCGGGCCAGCCCCGGTCACACCATCCCATGGCCGGAAGTGCCACCGAGGCCACTTCCCCATCACACCAACCTGTGGCCCCAAGTGCCACCCAGGCCACCCTTGGCCCAGCCGTCCCGTGGCCGAAAGTGCCACTCAGGCCACCCTTGGCCCAGTCATCCCATGGCTGGAAGCACCACCGGGCCAGCCCCGGTCACACCATCCCATGGCCAAAGTGCCACCCAGGTCACCCTCGGCCCAGCCATCCCGTGGCTGGAAGTACCACCTGGGCCAGCCCTGGTTACACCATCCCATGGCCGGAAGTGCCACCGAGGCCACCCCCATCCCACCAACCCGTGGCCCCAAGTGCCACCTAGGCCACCCTCGGCCCAGCTGTCCCGTGGCCAGAAGTGCCACCGAGGCCACCTCCCGTCACACCATCCCATGGCCGGAAGTGCCACTCAGGTCACCCTTGGCCCAGCCATCCCATGGCTGGAAGTAACACCTGGGCCAGCCCCGGTCACACCATCCCATGGCCGGAAGTGCCACCGAGGCCACTTCCCCATCACACCAACCTGTGGCCCCAAGTGCCACCCAGGCCACCCTTGGCCCAGCCATCCCATGGCTGGAAGCACCACCCGGGCCAGCCCTGGTCACACCATCCTGTGGCCGGAAGTGCCACCGAGGCCACCCCCAGTCACACCATCCCATGGCCGGAAGTGTCACTCAGGCCACCCTTGGCCCAGCCAACCAGTGGCTGGAAGTACCACCCAGGCCAGCCATGGTCACACCATCCCGTAGCCGGAAGTGCCACCCAGGCCACCCTCGGCCCAGCCATCCTGTGGCCGGAAGTGCCACCCAGGCCACCCTTGGCCCAGCCATCCTGTGGCCGAAAGTGCCACCGAGGCCACCCCCATCACACCAACCCGTGGCCCCAAGTGCCACTCAGGCCACCCTTGGCCCAGCCATCCCATGGCTGGAAGTAACACCCGGGCCAGCCCCGGTCACACCATCCCATGGCCGGAAATGTCATTCAGGCCATCCTTGTCCCAGCCAACCAGTGGCTGGAAGTACCACCCAGGCCAGCCCTGGTCACACATTCCGTGGCCGGAAGTGCCACCCAGGCCACCCTCGGCCCAGCCGTCCCATGGCCGGAAGTGCCACCCAGGCCACCCCCCATCACACCAACCTGTGGCCCCAAGTGCCCCCCAGGCCACCCTCGGCCCAGCCGTCCCATGGCCGGAAGTGCCACCCAGGCCACCCCCCATCACACCAACCCGTGGCCCCAAGTGCCCCCCAGGCCACCCTCGGCCCAGCCGTCCCGTGGCCGGAAGTGCCACCCAGGCCACCCCCCATCACACCAACCCGTGGCCCCAAGTGCCCCCCAGGCCACCCTCGGCCCAGCCGTCCCGTGGCCGGAAGTGCAGCCAGGCCACCACCTTGAGCAGCTTCTCCTTCCGCCGCCGCCACTCCTCCCACTCGTTGGCGATCCGGCCCCACAGGATCCACGTGTCTTCCTCCAGGTGGCTCAGGTTGGAGGAGGCCGAGGAGCTGGACACGAGCGACGAGCCGCTATTCCGCCGGGAGCCGTTCATGGAGCGCATGGACTTGGAATCGGCCTCCAGGAGCCTGGGAGAGGGACCCGGGGGGTGCCCGGGGACGCGGCTCAGTGGGACCCACTCATCCCGCAAAGACGGGAAAGGACGGGTGCTGGAGGGGTCCTGGGGAGCGGGGACCCCCCTGGGTATGTTTGCTGGGGAGCGGCTCTGACAAAAAGCAGGCTGGAGTGTCCTCAAGGAAGGAAAAGTCGGGGCTGGAGCGATAGCACAGCGGGTAGGGCGTTTGCCTTGCACACAGCCAACATGACCGACCCGGGTTCGATTCCCAGCATCCCATATGGTCCCCCCAGCACCGCCAGGAGCGATTCCTGAGTGCATGAGCCAGGAGTAACCCCTGAGCATCGCCGGGTGTGACCCAAAAAGCAAAAAAAAAAAAAAAAGGAAGGAAAAGTCTGGGGCTGGAGTGACAGTCCAGTGCGGAGGGCATTTGCCTTGCACGTGGCTGACGCGGGTTCGATCCCTGGCATCCCATGGGGTTCCCCGAGCACTGCCAGGAGTTATTCCTGAGTGCAGAGCCAGGGGTAACCCCTGAGCATTGCCGGTGTGACCAAAAAAAGGCAAAAAAAGAAAAGAAAAAAATGTCAGAGCAATAGGACAAAGAGGAGGGCGTTTGCCTTGCAAGTCCTTAACACAGGTGTGGCTCCTTCCTCCCTTTTCTTCCTTCCTTCCTTCCTTCCTTCCTTCCTTCCTTCCTTCCTTCCTTCCTTCCCTCCCTCCCTCCTTTCCTTCCTTCTCCTTCCTTCCTTCCTTCCTTCCTTCCTTCCTTCCTTCCCTCCCTCCTTTCCTTCCTTCTCCTTCCTTCCTTCCTTCCTTCCTTCCTTCCTTCCTTCCTTCCTTCCTTCCTTCCTTCCTTCCTTCCCTCCCTCCCTCCCTCCTTCCTTCCCTTCCTTCCTTCCTTCCTTCTTTCCTTCCTTCCTCCCTTCCCTCCCTTCCTTCCCTCCTTCCCACCCTCCATCCCTCCCTCCCTCCATCTTCCTTTTGCTTTCTTTGTTTCTGTCTGTTCTGAGGCCCCATCCGTGCTAGTCGAGAGCCCTCCCTGCTGTCCTATTGCTCTGGTCCCTCCTTTTCGCTCTCTGGGCCACTCAGGAATGCTCAGGGGCTGTCCAGCTGTCCCCAGCAGCCCTCCAGCTTTCCTTTCATGGTCACCAGCTCCTCGCAGGGTCTCCCCACATGGATAACAAACTTGCCCTCCTGGGAAGCTGAACAGGGGTGGATGGGCGGGCCCCCCGGGCAGGGCCCGAGGTTCTAGTGGGCTCCCAGCAGCGGCTTCCCAGACTAGCGCCTTGATTCTCAGCCTCTTCATCTACTTGCCTAGTGGTCGTCAGCCCCCCACACCCTGCCCAGGGACTTCCTCTGGAGGCTCCCCAGTGCCCCCCACTCACCGATTCTGCTCCTCCAGCTTGGCCAGCAGCTCGAGCTCATCGGGACTGAGGTTCTCCGAGTCCGAGGTCGGGGAGCAGGTGGGGGCCGACAGGGCCTCCTGGGAGGAGGAGTCGGGGCTCAGAGTGGGGCTGGCCATGGCGGGCAGCTTTGTCAGCCGTGAGCTGGGGCCGGGTCACAGTTCTGTCTGGGGATGGCGGGGCAAGAGAGGCGTGTCAGCACTGGGTGGGGTGTTCACCCCGTTCTTCCTGTCGGGGCCAGAGGGGCCCGTTCCCCTCTCCTCACGGCAGGCTGCCCCCACATCTGCTCCGTCTGTCCATGCGCCAACCCCTCCCCCTGCACCCCTAACCCAGATGACTCCCCGCTATTCCTTCTGCCCCGGATCCTGGCTCCGGGATGGGCCCGTGTCATCCGGATGTTGGGGACAGGGGGATAGCAGGCTGGTGTCCACAGCTTGTTCCACTGTCCCTGGACAGGGAGACCACATTGGAGAGAGAGAACAGGGGTTAAGGTGCGGGCCTTGGGGTCTTGGAGCGATAGCACAGCGGGTAGGGTGTTTGCTTTGCACGCGGCCGGCCCAGGTTCAATTCCCAGCATCCCATAGGGTCCCTTGAGCACTGCCAGGAGTAATTCCCGAGTGCAGAGCCAGGAGTAAGCCCTGTGCATCACTGGGTGTGACCCAAAAAGAAAAAAAAATATTTAAGGCGCTGACCTTGCATGCAGCCGACCCTGGTTCGAGCCTTGGCACCTCCTAGAGTCCCCTAAGCACTGCCGGAAATTTCTCCAAAGCACAGACCCAGCAGTCGACCTGGAGCACCGTCGGATGTAGCCCGAGTACCCCCTTTTTGGGGAGTTGAATCCAATGGTTCTTGGGTGGCGGGCCCTTCCCAGAAGCGCTTGGGGGACCATATGATGCCACAGAAGGAACTCAAGGCTGCTGCATGCAGTACCCGTGTCCAGCTCTTATCCTGGCCAGTGTCTAGGGCTACCTTTGAGGTCCCCTGAAGACCAAGTCTTTTGTGTGTGTGTGTGAGAGGTGGAGGATTTGGGCCACACCTGGCAGTGCTCAGGTGTTACTCCTGATTCTGCATTCAGGACTTCCTCCTGTTGGTGCTTGGGGGACGCTGTGGGATGCCGGGGATCGACTCTGGGTTGGCAGCATGCCAGCCAAGTGCCCTATCTGCTTTACTATTGCTCTGCACACACACACACACACACACACACAGCCTTTTTGCTTGTTTGGTTGATTTGGGGCCATAACCAATGGTACCCAGGAGGACTTACTCCTGGCTCTGTGCTCAGGGATCACGCCTGGCAAGCACAGGAGACCATACAGGGCACCGGAGACAGAAGTTGGGCCAGTTGCATGCAAGGCAAATGCTCTCCACGCTGTACTATCTCTCTGCCCCTCCCAAAATTTTGTTTTTGGCCCAAACCTGGTGGTGCTTGGGGTGGGGTGGCGGGGAGTTATACCTGGCTCTTAGTGTAGCAGTGACCCCTGGCAGTGTTTGGGGGACTTGAATGAGGTGCCAGGAATCGAACTTGGGTTGGCCGTGTGCAAGACAAGTGTCTTTCCCTCTGAGCTCCCTCTCTGGCCCCTGCAAAGCACATCATGACGTCCCATGAGTCAGCAGGGTCGGAGGTCAGGGAGCCTCACGGAAGCCTCTGCCTCGTTGGCCCCACCGCCGACTTCCCGCCCGTGGTCTGCCCCCGCGTCTCACCCTCCTGTCGTCTCATCAACCAAAGTGGGCTGCTGGCACGGCCAGAAGCAATTATTCTCCACTGTTAATTGTCTGGCGCTGCTGGGGGCCAGCACTCAGCTCTCTGGGGCGCCGGTGACACAGTCAAAGTGCCCGGAACTGGTGGCGGCTAGACGGGCAAGAGCTTCAAGCTTGGGTGGGGACCCAGCCAGCTGCCGTGAGCGTGGGCATCAAGGGACCCCCGCTCTCCAGGAGAGCCCTGTCCAAAGCCGGGCTGTGCTGAGGCACGAGTGACAGTCCAGCAGGGAGGGCGCTGGCCTTGCATGTGGCTAACCCAGGTTCGATTCCCGGCACTCCATGGGGGTCCCTGGAGACCCATCGGGAGTGATCCCTGAGCGGCAGAGCCAGGAGGAAGCCCTGAACAACAAGGCCAGGTGTAGGCCACCCACCCCCGCCCCGCTCAAATCAGTCCAGAAATACAAATGAAAAAAATTAAGTGAAATGGGGACTGGAGAGATAGCACAGCAGGTAGGGCGTTTGCCTTACACGCGGCCGACCCGGGTTCGATTCCTAGCATCCCATATGGTCCCCTGAGCACCGCCAGGAGTAACTCCTGAGAGCAGAGCCAGGAGTAACCCCTGTGCATCACCAGCTGTGACCCAAAAAGCAAAATAAAAAAAATTAAGTGAAATGAATTTCCACACTTCAGTGGGGAGACGGCGGGAAGATTTCACAGCATGGAAGATTTAAGGAGTATTGGGGGGAACTCAGAGAAAGAGACCCCACGTGGTCCAGATCCACCATCTCCTTGAGGATCTAGGGTTCCCCATCACCCATCACCGTACCACTGCCACCCCCAAAGAGGATTCTGTTCTGGGTTTCTGGTTCAAAACGCTGGCATGCGGGGTTCAATCCTCGGCTCCACAGGGTCCCTGAAGCGCCATCAAGAGTAACCCACAGAGGGGCTGAAGTGATAGTACAGCAGGTAGGGCGTTTGCCTTGTACACACCCAACCAGGGTTCAATTCCCAGCATCCCATATGGTCCCCCGAGCACCGCCAGGAGTGATTCCTGAGTGCAAAGCCAGGAGTAACCCCTGTGCATCGCTGGGAGTGACCCACAAAGAAAAAAAAAAGAGTAACCCACACAAGCACTGAGCTAGGAGTTGCCCCTGGGCACAGATGGATATGCCCCTTCCCACCCAGAAAATAAAACAAGACGGAAAATTTCCCCAAAGCAAACCCTGCACCGGGGCCTTCTGGGAACAGCACTGGCTAGTATAGTCCTGTCACTTTGAGGTGTGAACTGCACACCGGAAGCAGAAAGGGCTGAAGTCCATGGGCTGAGACTCACATTCCTTTTTTTGGGTTTGTTTTTTTTTGGGGGGGGCACACCAGGTGATGCTCAGGGCTTACTCCTGAATCAGTGCTCAGCGCTCACTTGTGGCGGTGCTGGGGACCCTACGGGATGCTGAGGATCGAACCAGGGTCGGCCACATGCAAAGAGCCTTACTGGCTGGCTTACTGCTCTGGCTTGGGGTTTCTTTTTATTTATTTATGTATTTATTTATTTTTGGGCTTTTTTGGGGGTTTCTTTTTATTTATTTATTTTTTGCTTTTTGGGTCACGCCCAGCGATGCACAGGGGTTCCTCCTGGCTCATGCACTCAGGAATCACTCCTGGCGGTGCTCAGGGGACCATATGGGATGCTGGGAGTCGAACCCGGGTGGGCCACATGCAAGGCAAACACCCTACCCGCTGTGCTATCTCTCCAACCCCAAGAATTTATTTATTTTATTTGTATTTTTTTTTTGGCTTTTTGGGTCACACCCGGCGATACACAGGGGTAACTCCTGGCTCATGCACTCAGGAATCACTCCTGGCGGTGCTCAGGGGACCCTATGGGATGCTGGGAATCGAACCCGGGTCAGCCACGTGCAAGGCAAACACCCTACCCGCTGTGCTATCTCTCCAGCCCCGTTATTCTTTTTTAATTATTATTATTATTATTTTTTACTATCGTTGTGGGGGCTATTTCTGGTGATGCTGGGGACCAAACCTAGAGTCCTGCACCTGTCCAGCATGGGCTCCCCAGCTCCAAGAAGCCCAGTCTTTCTGGCCCCGCCCACTTCCGGTGTCCGGGGCTCACTTCCGGCTCGGAAAACACGCGCCCCCCCCCACACACACACATTCCAGACACGTGGGTGCCGTCTTTTCTGCCGTGTTCCGTGGGGATCCCGAGCATTCCAAACCCAGGGATTGAGAACCTTGGCTGGAAGGAGCACCCTGGGGTGAAGATGCTTGCCTTTGCATTCCATCAGTCCGGGTTTTATCCCTGGTACTCTGGCAGTGCAGCTGGTACGCCCCCCCAACCCGGCCCCATTATTTCCCAAGAATCTTGCCTGAAACCACAGCACCCAAAAGGAGAGAGAGAACCAAAGGGAATGCCCTGCCATAGAGGCAGGGTGGGATGGGGGGATGGGGGATGAGGGTGCGAGGGATACTGAGACCCGTGGTGGTGGAGAATGGGCACTGGTGGAGGGATGGGTACTCGATCATTGTATAATTGAAACCCAAGCACAAAAATTTGTAAGTCTACAACTGTACCTCATGGTGTTTCACTAATAAAAATTAAAAAAAAAAATCTTGCCTGAACACAGGATCAGCCCCTGGGCACCAGTGGGGGACCCTGCCCGCCCACCACCTCCCCAAAAAGGATTTATTTACTTTTGAAATTTAGCTTCTTGGGGCTGGAGTGATAGCACAGCGGGTAGGGCATTTGCCTTGCACGCGGCCGACCCGGGTTCGATTCCCAGCATCCCATATGGTCCCCTGAGCACCGCCAGGGGTAATTCATGAGTGCAGAGCCAGGAGTAACCCCTGTGCATCGCCGGGTGTGACCCAAAAAGCAAAAAAAAAAAAAAAAAAAAGAAATTTAGCTTTTTTTTTTTGTGGTTTGGGGACCACACCCAGCAATGCTCCTATCTCTGCATTCAGGAGTTTCTTCTGGCGGCGCTTGGGGGACCAGATGGGGTGCTAGGAATCGAACCTGGGTCTGCCTTTCTGTACTACTGGGTCAGCAAGGCTGTACTACTGCTCCAGCCCCTATACGTTCATTTCGGTTTTGGGGGGCCATATCCGGCAGTGCTCAGGGCTTACTCCTGGCTCTGCTCAAGGATCACTCCTGGCGATGCTCAGGGTACCATATGGGGTTGCCATGGCTCGAACCCAAGTCCTCTGAGGGCAAGACAAGCACCCTACCTGCCATATTATCTCTCCGGCCTCTTTATTTATTTTTATTTTATTTTATTATTATTATTTTTTTGCTTTTTGGGTCACACCCGGCGATGCACCGGGGTTCCTCCTGGCTCTGCACTCAGGAGTTACTCCTGGCGGTGCTCCGGGGACCCTATGGGATGCTGGGAATCGAACCCGGGTCGGCTGCATGCAAGGCAAACGCCCTCCCCGCTGTGCTATCTCTCCAGCCCC